CAGTCGATGTCGCGATGCCTCTGACGCTGTGTTTTTGTACACACTAATGTGACTATGCTATCGCGTTGCCCTGTATCCTTCAGTGCACCTAGCTATCCTATCTAACTGTGCATAGTCACAGTGTGTCGCTACGGCGACTTGCGCTGCATCTGTGTCCACACTGAAGCGATTATGCAGTTATGTTGCTAACGTAACTGACCATTATGTGAACTGTGCATATTCATGCAGTCTCGGTCGCTTCATCGACTTGCACCGCATTATACACTCAGATGTTTGATATGTGCACACTGATGGGTAATGCTGTTATGTTGCCCTCTATCCCTCAGTGCAACATCCAGCTATCCTATCTAACTGCATATTCAGTTCTGTCGCTATGGCGACTACACGGCACGTACAAGGACGTGTTTTTGCTATTTTGTTGCCCTGTTTCCTTCAGTGCAAAACTAGCTATCCTAATCTAACCGTGCATATTCACAGTTCTGGATGTATGTACGTAAACGGATGTGTTATGCTAGTAATGCTGCCCTGTTTCCTTCAGTGCTGCTAGCCATCCTAATCTAACTATGCATCTTAAGTTTCTGAAAAATGCTGTACGTGCATGTGCTACGCTGTTATATTGTCCCGTTCCTATCAGGGCAACTGGTTATTCTGTGCAAACTCATATATTCACAGTTGTAGCTACAGTTATGACTGTTTGTTTGCTTACTGAGGTGCTATGCTATTATGGGGCTATTTTCTAACTGCGTATATTCACAGTTGTCGTCGCTACGGCCACTGGCACTGTGTTTATGTACATTCAGTTATGTGTTGATTTGCACTTCTGTACATTGGCTATAGAACATCGGCTATGTTCTACAAGGTGGCACCCCAGCCCCAAGCTGTGGAACCTTCTTGTGTGTCCGCTGCTGGGTCCTTAGTTGAGCAAGACACTTCACACTGACAAGTGCTAAGAAACGGAGCTCTCCCTAAGATGGCCTTACCACCGGCTCTCGCCCCAGCGAAGCACTTGGAGACTTACGCTCATTCTAGTGAATGTTGTCGCATTGTCTCGGACCTGATGACTGCAGCGTCACTCCCAGTCCGATACCAAGCTACGTTCCGAAGTCGCTTACACCGTTCAGAGCACAGGTTGATCCCTGCCCGCCTTATCTGCTGAGTTTCAGCCTCGCATGATGCCGATGCTCAGAGTGATGTTGGCCCTGTAAGGGATTTGTGGATGTACGTGGATCACTTGGCAGCAGTCTACCAGCTGTTGTGTGCTTGGTGGATGGTACTAGGGACGTGCTGTTTTATACAGAGACTTCTCTCTGAATTCGATGCTTTAAATGGTTGCTTAATGCCTACGGGATTTAGGTATGCTGGCTGTCTTCTCAGAACACATTCGCCAGGGTTCCAAGTTTGATGCACCACCTTAGCGTCGTGGGTTCGGTGAGTTTTATCAATGTACTCATGAAACTGTTACCACCAGCTGTGCAGTAGTCTGTATTGCAGAGTTACCATTGCTGCTAACTCTGTGTTATGACTATAAGGTTACATAGCTGTTTCCACATTACGCAGTAGTTCCAACGTACTGTTAACTCTGTGTGTGGCTTAAGGTTATGCAGCTGTCACCGCTATGCCGTCGACACTGTGTTAGCTCTTGTGCTCGAGTGCTTATGGTATTCTGCTGCCCTGTCCAGTGCAGCCTTCGCCTCATTGCAGTGGATGCGCAACTTGGTAAGCCGGAGCAGACGTTGGTCTAGTTTCGCCTATCAGTTTTGAGTGCTCCTAGCGGCGCTGCTGGCTTAGAACTGTTGTTCCTGTGGGAGTGTAGCTTGACCCCGTTCAGGGCTTATCTTCACTGCGCTCACGGCGGGATTCTATACAGTTCCCATATACGTCAGTATGACGTAATGTCGAAGTGACCGCCTTGAATGGGAACGTCTCCGGTTACTATCGTAACCTCGGTTCCCTGAGAGGCGGGAACGAGACATTACGTCAACCGCCGTGCTCGCCGTTTGATCAGCTGTGCTAGCGTTCAGTCTTGATTCTGACGTAATTGTCGCGCCCATGCTATTTTATACTGCCCGCGGACCGGTCAGCATTTGCATGTTTTGCGTCAATTGGCCAGCTGTCTCCAGCTGGCGTTATCCTATAAGATTTCAGTGAAAATGGAGAAGGGAGGAGTTCCCATATACGTCAGTATGACGTAATGTCTCGTTCCCGCCTCTCAGGGAACCGAGGTTACGATAGTAACCGGAGACGTTTTATGACCCCATTCCCTGACCCAAAGCCCGTCTACGGAAAGCCTGCCACTCCCTATTAAAGGAGTAGTTCACTTTTGAAAAAACTTTTGCTGATAATTTACTCACCCCCATGTCATCCAAGATGCCTATGTCTTTCTTTCCTCAGTCGAAAAGAAATTACGGTTTTTGATGAAAACATTCCAGGATTTTTCTCCATATAATGGACTTAAATGGGAACCATATGGTCCAAGGTCCAAAATACAGTTAATAACAGTTTCAGATGCAGCTTAAAATGTCTTTAAACGACACCAGATGATGAATAAGGGTCTTATCATGCGAAACGATCGCTCATTTAAAAAATAAATAACAACGTTTAAGTTTTATAAGCTCACATGCTCGCCTTTCTCTGTTCTGTGTAACTCTCCTGTTCGAACTCGTTCATCAAAATGAACAAATCTTTTTCCGAGTCAATTCGTTCATTTCGGTCGTTAAATGAATCAAATGACTCGAAAAAAGATTTGTTCATTTTGATGAACGAGTTCGAACAGGAGAGTCACACAGAACAGAGAAAGGCGAGCATGTGAGCTTATAAAACTTAAACGTTGTTATTTATTTTTTAAATGAGCGATCGTTTCGCATGATAAGACCCTTATTCATCGTCTGGTGTCGTTTAAAGACATTTTAAGCTGCATCTGAAACTGTTATTAACTGTATTTTGGACCTTGGACCGTATGGTTCCCATTTAAGTCCATTATATGGAGAAAAATCCTGGAATGTTTTCATCAAAAACCGTAATTTCTTTTCGACTGAGGAAAGAAAGACATAGGCATCTTGGATGACATGAGGGTGAGTAAATTATCAGCAAAAGTTTTTTCAAAAGTGAACTACTCCTTTAAGTCCTATTGTACCGAATTTTGGTTGTAGTTCCACCAGAGTTCCACTGGGGGCGATCGTCCGAGTGCAAAATGAATGGGGGTCAATGGGGCTAGACGGCTAAATTTGACTCTTTTACCCGATTGTCATTGAGAAATCTCAGATTTGAATGTAGGTTCTGCAAGTTCAACATGGGTTATAGGTCGAAAGTTGAATGAACGAGTGCTTATGTCCTTTCGATTTCTTACAGGTTGAGTTGTTGTTGCCCATAACACGCTAGCATTTTGCTAATGGACGCTGATTGGTCAGTGAAGGACTGATTACGACCAGAGACACCGCTTGATGGCATCGTGGCATATACGATGTGGTACAACTACAATGCAGTGCAAATAGTAAATATAAGATACAGTGAGTAATAGTAAATAGTTTAGTCAATAAAATAAACAAACAGTATACAGCAAATAAAATAGTAATGAAAAGGCTATATAAAAATATAGGCTATATAAAATAAAATGACACAACCCTGTCTATTTTTGTTAAATTTCAGTTTTATTGATCAGTAAGAGACATTATAACAGTATAAGTAGCCTAAAAGGTATAATAAGTTATACAAGACAATAAATAAAGTAAACCATTCAGACACAGCAGGATACAACGTTAAAATAGCCAAAATATAAAGTTATGAAACTTCACTTTGCCCTCAGCCAAAACGATTTGCCAGGGAACAAATGATACGATTAATGATACCAAAGATCGCCCGTTAGATATACACAAGACGAATTATATCTCATGTGAGAGACATCAGAGCCGGCGGCGAACGTCACAAGCACTAGCCGAGGAAAGGCTGTTCCAGGCGGGGTGCAGAGCGCTGAGACCCGGTGAAAGACTGGTCCTCACAACTCCGAAAACGTCAGATCAAACTTTTAAATAGGCGCTATCTTTATAAATACACCACAGATTTGAGCTTTAAACAACTACATTGTCGACTGAAAAACTATTAAAACTACATTTCGTGACACAATAACAGTAGTATTTTTAAATTTCGCGGCTTCTCTCGTCTGTCTATGCGCGAAAGCACCAGTGAATGAAGGATTGCCGTAAAGCAGGTTTCTGGTCGTACGATGTGTATGACGTCATTGACATTTTAAAAGACTTTTTAAAGCAAATTAGTGACTCTAAAAAATCTAACACCCAGTAATGTGTAATTTTGTTGCACCTTCTTTCGAATACAACATTCAAATTACTAGACAAAAAATTATATCCTGAGAAAAGTGGATTTTTAGGGGTATTGCTCCATAGACCTCCATTCATTCTGCACTCCGCCTGTGAGCGCCCTCATATGGACCTAGAGTGGAACTGCAACAGTTCAGAACCCGGAAGTTTAATGTGAGTGGGAGTTCTCCCAAGGGGGTAATCCATCGACCGGAAGTTGAAGCCGGCCGGGTGCCGCCATCTTGTAGCAGAACTTCACTTGCGTTAGCATTTCCATTGACTACCATTCATTTTGGCGTCACTTTGACAGCGAATAACTTTACATCTGAGGCGTTTAAAGACTCCATTTGTCCATTATTTATTTCTAAAGAAACACGACAATGTATAAATGGCTCCATTACCTTCTATGTTACATTATGGCCCCGTAGAAACAGTTTTAGTAAAAATAGGCTAACGATTGCGTCATAACCACTCGACTCTCTGTCGCGCTGTACAGAAATTACCGTACAGACAGCAGGAGAAGCTCGCAGGCAATCGGGGGGACGTCCCATCAAGAGAGAAGCCCATAGATAATGAGTCCATAAAAGCAACGGAATACTTAATCCTGCTCACTCACGATAAAGGACTCTTTGCTCAAGTTCCCCGTCTCTGCAAGATTAACGTTGGCAATTTTCACGCACAGCTACTAGAAGAGTAACGTCTGTCAGACAGGTTGCTCACGTCATCAAGCTTAGTTTGAGTCGGTCTGAGTCTGCGCGTCAGGAACGGAAGTTCTCAAAAATCGCTAAAAGTGGGCTTCAACTGTCTCAACTGAGTTCCAATGAGATCGCTCTGTCCATTTCTTTTACTGTCTATGAGTTCTCCCCATATTAGACATTCTCTGCCTGACCCAAACCCCAGACTAGTTACAATGCAGCTCTAGCCATGCAGGACAAGGGCACACAATGAAGTGAACTTTAGCCAACTAAAGTATCTGAAAAGTCTGAGGGTTTCACCTGACAGGGCCTGTGACATTGCATGGGCCATATTACACAACATTGCACCATCAGAAAAAATATAAAACATTTCATTAATGTTTAATAAAAGACAAGACAAATATGCTTAGTTCTTTGAGTTTTATTTTAATTGTTCTTTGTAAAGAAAAGCCAGTGATCAAGTCATCTTTCGCCTGCAAATAATATATATTGTACTCTGTGTGAAATAATATGCAAGTTCCTATGAAGCAACTCTATCTCTAGTGCCAGTTTTTTTTTTCTTTAAGTTGCCAAGTATTTTCAAAATACTCTGTTTTCTAGGTAGGGGTAAACCTGTCAAACACATGGCTTATGCATCAAAAAATAAAAGGAAAAGTACAACACTGCCCACCTCTGCATCACTGCTTTGTGCAGACTCTTCTGTAGATGTGGACTCCTGCAACTCATATTGCATTCAGAAATAATAGGTACTCAAGTGTAAATTAAGTAAAGTTATTTATGCACTTAAAGATACCTGAGAGGATTTCGTCACTGTCCTGTGCATTGGGGGAAAAATGGGCATTACAAAGTGTTGTACTTTCTTCCCTTTTGAGTTTTGATGTAACATTAGAAAAAGTCCACTTACTGCACATGCTTCAGCCACCACTTGCTTGGGAACACATAAAAGTGTTGGTGTATTGTTTAACCCTTTCATGCATGAATTATGATAACCTTAGTCAGGATTTTTTTTTTCCTATGTGTTTTTATTGCTCTTAGGGCATGAAAAACAAGATTTGATTTTTTTTTTTTACAAATTTTCCAAAGAGATTTTCAGGTGTCCACTTGAGTGGACAGCATGCATTTATGGTTTAAACTGAAGAGATACTAGGCCTATATTAAACATAATACAATAATAGCAATAATAACAGATAAAGTATGTGTATTTAACAAACTAATCAATACAATTATATAAAATCATGTGAAAACTATAAAATATATACAAAAAATAGAAATCCGAAATATTGCAAAGGCAATTGAACTTCATACAAGTTGCACTTCGTGTATCTTTGATATCAGAACATGAGGACGTGATTCCATCAGAAATTTCTACTGCCTGTCAAGGTACAACAGTGGAAACCACTTACTTGCTTTAATGGTATTATATTCTTTGTTCTCTCCACCTATACATGACTTGTTCTTTTTTTTATGCCCAAAACTAAATTATCCCTCAGGATTACATTTCCAGAATTTGAGGCGGTACATAATATAAAAATGCATTCATGTCTTTTTTAGAATTTGATTAAAATCTGAAGCTTCAAGGAAGCACTCATTTTGCTGAACTACAGACACAGAGATCTGGCAGGGACAGATGCTCCCTCCAGTGTGCCAGAGTATGTCAATTTACCTTTATTAGCTGATAATTCTGATTATGTTCAAGATAGACACATTTCTAGCATAGGCCTCTTCTGAGAAAACCTAGCGATACGTATTTTTCAATCTCATCTGAAATTAGCAGTGTTGGGGCATGCATAACGCATTCAGATTACTTTTTTGATGTTACAAGTAAAGTAATGTGTTACAAGTAACATGCATTACATAATCAGATTTGTTTTAATGTTACGAATAAAGTAATGTATTACAAGTAACATGTATTACCTAATCAGATTACTTCTTGATCTAACAAGTAAAGTAATTAATTACAAGTAATGTGCAATACGTAATCAGATTACTTTTTGTTGTTACGAGTAAAGTAACGCATTACAAGTAACATGCATTACGTAATCAGATTACTTTTTGGTGTTACGAGTAAAGAAAAGCATTACAATATCGTACATTACGAAATCAGATTACTTTTTGATCTAACAAGTAAAGTAATGCATTACAAGTAACATGCATTACGTAATCAGATTACTTTTTGATGTTCCGAGTAAATAAATGCATTACAAGCAACATTCATTACGTAAACAGATAACTTTTTGATCTAACAAGTAATGCATTACGTAATTAGATTACTTTTTTGATGAAATGAGTAAAGTAATACATAAATCACATAAATTATGTAATCCCATAACTTTTTTCGATGTCAATGAAATTAACATTGTCACAGGTTAACCTGGTGACTCTATAAACTTGGACTTACAAACATACACCCATTTCACTGATACTGTGCATTGCCGGCAATATTAACAACTGTGTACACATCAGGAAAGTGTTATGGACTTTTTGTTTTGTTCAGTCTAAAGTTTGTTAATGCTGTGTTTTGTTATAGTTTTCAAATCTTTATAGTTTTTCTTAAAGTTTGTCATTATTTTTTCCAAAAGAACAGAATGCCAGAACACACAATAATTTATATAATAATTACCTTTATTTTCCCACATATTTTTCACAAACCTTATTGCAGTTAAACTTCCCGGTTCACACTCTGTACAACCAAACCCATAATCCAGGTTAAACTGTTTTTTTAAAGCAACAGCCACATCACTTCCTGTGGAAGATACCATTTTGGTGTGATGTCAGAGGAGGGGGGATTTAGAAACAGTTGTGTTTACCATATAATTTGTTGTTAAACTCTCTCTCTGTTAATGGTTGTTGTTTTAGCTGTTTGGAAGGTTTAAGTGTTGTGTTGGGTGTTTATATTACTTAAATTGATTGTTACAAACGTATTAGTTTGTACCTATGGTTGGTATGCCCTATAGGCGGGGCTTCAGCCTATAAATAGACTTTATGGCTGAAAGGATTTCAGTTCTGATTGTGAACTCAGAGAAATTGGATACTGAGCAGTGTTGTGAACATTGGGCCATTTGGTTTAGCCAAAATTAGCACATTGTTGCGGTTTTCTTTTCTTTTTGTACAGTTTTTATTTATTTTTGTTTTTCTCCAGCACTGTAAATATTTCAGCACCTTCCAATAAAACACCATTTTGGATTTTGCATCAACTTTTTGTACAGCACGTCATTTCCCTTTTCCACTCCAACTGGTTGGCTTCCCTACAAACATTCTAATAATACAAATACATTTATTTACAGTCAAAAAAAGTCACTGCAGATGAAGTATTTTCAAAAACAATATTCACAGTATAAGTATGAATTGTTGCTGAAATATAGCCATTGATGCATGAGGTCCACTACAGTGGACAGATGATTAAACAGATTTTTCTCCCAATCTAAAATCAAAACTTGGAAAATTTTACTGTCATATGACTCATTAGATATTGCTTGATGTTGCAATATTTTTTTTTACAAGAGTCTCCTAGGATAGAAGGAATGGGTGGATATTCCGGAGCAACTTGGCATGTCTGACTGACCATTGGCCATATTGGTTTGGAGGGGGAAAACCTCGAAACACAACGGCTTGCAACTTGGTTGCAATGTATATGCACCAGGGTCCACTGAAGAGATTGATGTGCAACTTTGCCATCAAAACCCTTGCAAATTCAAGAAAATGCTTTTTAATAGCTGTCCACTGTAGTGACCACTACTGCACAAAAGAGGAAAACACAATTTCATTACAATGAAGTACATTGGGGGGAAATGTGATCAATAACTCATGGCAACATATTTTTTTTACATTAACTATGTAGTTTCACATAGTCACACATGTAGACTTTCACAAGTCAAAATATGTCTGCAAATGCCATGCAAGTATATACATTTAATGAGGTACTCTGAAAATGATAAGCTGATGGTTCTTTTCATTGTTAAATGGATCTTTCCCATAGTTCCATTTCCCGCTTCCGATTCCATTCTGTCACTCACCCTTTTACCCATGCATATATGTATGTGTTTAGATTAATTATGTTTGTGATTTAGTTAATAAAACTTGTGCACAATATGTATTTGGTTCTGATTCTCTGCTTGCAACAAAGTTTACTTTACGATTTAGATTTTTACTACAGGCTCTTAGTATACAGTGTACAGTAAGAAAGACATTTCCCTTCCCCGGAAATTAATATTTCTTAGAATTGATAAACAATTGCGCTGAGTGTTCATGATGAACTGGTGGGTTGATTGTAATATTAATTTTACTACATTGGGTTAATTATATTAACTGATCCAAATATTCATAATCAATTATAACCAGTTATATTTTATTATTAATATTCCATAGAGTTAATTTGTTACACTCACCTCACGCCCCTCGGCCTCGTCCTGCTCACCACAATTAATAAATAATATTCAGAGATGGGCATAAATACATGGAAATGTATTTAAAATACAAATACAAAATACTGTGTGGAGAAATGTATTTAAATACAAATACAAAATACTGTGTGAAAAAAATTATTTAAATACAAATAATACAGTATTTTGTATTTTGAAAATACACTAAATACATGTGAAATTGGCCATCCAGTGCAGGTATAGGTCACAGTGAATGAAGAAACTACATAGGCCATTCCTGGCCATTACAAATAAACTTGTGCAAAATAGCAGCCATTTATACTTATTTCTGACCAGGTTACAATGTAGTCGATTACTTGTGGTGAACATTATTAAAACATTCATACTGTATGTAAAACTGTGGGAACCTTTTCTGCTATCTAGCAAAGAATATGACCCAAAATCTTAATTTTACTTCACAGTAACAATATATATCATGATTTCACAATTCTCAATATCAGTTTGGATACAACAGCAAAAACTGAATTTCAAACTCTGTTGAGGTTTTTTTTTTTGCGGGTAGTCCAATGCTTTTTAAGTAGGGGTGTAACGATACCCTCATGTCATGACTCGATACATATCACGAT